AGCCTGCTTCTCCCTCTCCCACTCCCTCTGCTTGTGTTCCCTCTCTCACTGTGTCTCTCTCTGTCAAATAAATAAATAAAATCTTTAAAAAAAATTTAAATGGTACCTATAGAAGACTTAGAGTCAGAAGATATATGTTAACGTTGTGAGTCCACTAATTTTGCTGTACTTCCTCTGAGCTTCAGTTTTTCCATTTGTGTAATGGACGTGATAAAAAACTTTGTAAATTGCCAGTGCTATTGAGATGGTATTCTACACATGTGGTTCTCCATATATTTCTTGCCTTTGTTAGTCAAAGGATTCCTGTTCCCTTTTTGAAAAAGCCAGTTCCCAAGTCACAGGGAGGGAGGCAGGTAAAATGATGATAATTTTGTCTTTGTGGTTGTCGTCAACTTATGGTTTGTATCTTTTCAGGTTGATACAGGCAATACTGGACGGGTATTGGCTTCTGATGCTGCTGTTTTCCTGAAAAGATCAGGGCTTCCAGACTTGATACTTGGGAAGGTAGTATTTGTTCATTTTATTTTTATTTTTATTTTTTTAAAAGATTTTATTTATTCATGAGAGAGAAAGAGGCAGAGGGAGAAGCAGGTTGCCCAAGGAGCAGGGAGCCCAGTGTGGGACTTGATCCCAGGACCCTGGGATCATGACCTGAGCTGAAGGCAGATGCTCAACCATCTGAGCCATCCAGGCGCCCGTATTAATGAATATTTATTTAGTAGTATAAATAAATTGGATGCAAATTTAGAAAGATACCGTCAAGAAACGTAGAAGTAAGAATTGAATCATTGAAGCAGTTACAGTAATGCAATGGAGGAAATTTGTGGTGCAGTGATTTACCCTTTTGAAAAGTAAGGTGTTTTTCAGATTTTTAGAAAACCAGTTACTTTTTAGTGGGATGAAATGAGGAAGTAATAGTACATTTGGGTATTGTGGGGAGAAACAGTGCAGGCTGGGAACCTTGCCACCCACTCAGAGAGTTGGCTCTGTCTCTGCTTCCTCTATTATAACTGTCTCTAACTGTGTTTAATTTGTGGTGAATAGAGTTGGGGATGAGAGGCTTAGAAAAGAGCACAAAAAAGTGGAAAGTCCCTCTCCTGGCTAAATCTCCTTGTGAATCCTTATACATGATATTGATAATAGTTATTATAAATTAATAATTTAATTATTCACAAATAAACATGAACTATTTCAGCTTGCCCATAAGGAAGAATATCATCTTAACATGAAACTAAAATCAAGGTAATAGGTTCTAGTAGAAAGAGCATTGGATTTGGAGTTAGAACCTGGGTTAATGAAAAAGGCATTGGACTTGGAAGTTAGAACCTGGGTGTCACTTCTTTACTTGATGCCTTGAATGTTCTTGAGTAAGTATCTCCACTGGGCCTTAGTTTCTTTGTGTAGGATTGCACTAAATGACCTTTAAGGTTTCTTTCCACTTTCAATTCTATGATTCTTAAATCTGAGGACCAAAGAGAATGAAGTTGTAAATTACAGGGATTTAATTTATCTTTAAGATGATTTTTGTTTAAAATATAGATTGACTTTTTTTTTTTTTTTTTCTGAATTTCAGATTTGGGATTTAGCTGACACAAATGGCAAAGGAATCCTGAACAAACAAGTAAGATTCAGAGATACATATGAAAATTTTTTTGAGTGCTTCAGAATAAAAAATAACCAGAATTTTTTTCTAATTTTAAACTAGGAGTTGGTTTTTTACCAACATTAGGGTTTTGCAAAGGCAAGTGTTACTACAATATATTGGAAAATATTTCCAATTCAGTAGACATTAAAGTAACTGATTCCCAAAGGTTAGTGTTCATTTGGTGACATTGTTCTCCTGGAATGTCTTAGTCTGTTGGGGCTTCTCTAACAGGATAACAGGGGCTTCTCTAACAGGCTAACACAGACTGGATGGCTTATAAATAGCAGAAATTTATTGCTCACAGTTCTGGAGGCTGGAAGTACAAGGTCAGGCTGCCAACCTGTCTTCTTGGTCGCCGACTTCTTGTATCCTTATAAGGCAGAAGGGGCTAGGAATCATTCTGGATCCTCTTTTTTAAAGCACTAATCCCATTCATGAGGGCCCCACCCTGATGCCTTAAGCACTTCTCAAAGGCCCTACCTCCTAATACCATTACCTTTGGAGGTTAGGATTTCAACATTCAGTTTCTTGTACAGTATACTTGTGAGTATTCTGGTCTAGGTCTTACTTTTGGCATATAAACCAAAAAATGGTTTACAGGCCATAAGTAAATCCTAGACTAGAAATACATGAAAGCGATTATGGGTATTGGATACCATCAGTGTACTTTGAAATTCAGCTTGTTGGGGATGAATTTCAGAGTTCCATAGGACTGAATTCCAAGCTTGTTGCATGCTGATACATTGGCTGAGCACTGCTACTCAAAGTTAATTCCCCCATATGGGATAGCTGAAGCAGCATCATACTCAGAAAAGGGATGGGAAATTTAGATGAGAGGGTCAGAATATCCAGTCCCTTAATTAAGATTCCAGGGTTAGATTGTAGTCCCCATTGGAGCCCCTGAGCAAGAGGGCCAGTTGGTCCATTGGAGACATAGGAAGACTAACTTCATATGGGCAGCCAGGGTACTGTGCGCCCAGTCAGCAAGTATTTGAGTACCTTTTTTGAGTCAGGCTTTGGAAGTGCAGAAGTGTACATGACAGATGTAGTCTCTGTCTGCATGAGTTTGTAGTATAATAAATTCTTCACTGATATTCCTGGACGTTGGATGTTGAGTTTGAATTGTCTTTGTTAAATCCAAGTGGCTGGATTTGTGGGTCTGCAGTTAAATTTTTTTTTTTTTTTAAGATTTTATTTATTTAGGGGTGCCTGGGTGGCTCAGTTGGTTAAGCAGCTGCCTTCAGCCCAGGTCATGATCCCAGGGTCCTGGGATGGAGCCCTGCATTGGGCTCCTTGCTCAGCAGGAGCCTGCTTCTCCCTCTCCCTCTGCTTGCCATTCCCCCTGCTTGTTCTCTCTCTCTCTCTGGGTCAAATAAATAAAATCTTAAAAAATATATATATTTTATTTATTTATTTGACAGAGAGTATGAGTCGGGGGGGGCAGAGGGAGAGTGAGAAGCTGAATGTTGATTTTTTTAATCCAGTTTTATACCCATTAAGGCTATAGGCCCAACCTTGATGCTTGAAGATTTTTTTCCTGTTTATCTTTGTATTTCTATCTAAGCCTCTCTTGCCCCCTCATCTACTTAATAAGTCCTGTCAAATCTATCTTACAAACATTTATTCAGACCATACCCTTCTTTTCTGCCATTGCCAATGTTCAGATCCTCTACTGGGCCCATTAAAATTATTTCCTAAGTAGCCTTCTACTTTCCATCCTATTTTTCCTCTTCACAAATAATCACCTAGACCTAATACTATGTTAATAACTCTTGAATCTGTCCCTTTGTCCATTCTCATTTTCTTTACTTTTGGCACGTCAATCCTTTCTTAAGTTGTCTTCTACAAAACTTCAAAATCTTATCTCCAATTCCTACCACCATTCAGAACTCCTTATTATTTTCAAACATAACTGAGCTTTCTGTTGATTGCATGCTTTGTGCATGCTCTTACCTCCATATAGAATCACCCTCTCCCCTTCCCCTCCATACTTCAAATTCCTGCACTGATGTCACTTCCATGAAGCCTTCTTGGACTCCCTTCCTGGTTCCAGAACACTCTTACACATTCATGTCCAGGTGAACTTGAGCCTTCAGACATTGATACTCCTAAGCTGCCTTTCACATTAGATAGTAAACCTGTTTATTAGCTGACCAGGGAACCCTTTGAACTATGGTATGAATTGAATGGCACTCCTTGCCTACAAGTGTTTCAGGTCTGATGATATAAATGTAATCTTTTTGTATATCAGTTTATGTATTCACTTGATTATTTTATCAAAATGGTTTTTGAATTGTATTCATAGGGACCTTGGACACTTGGGTAGAAGATGAATGCTGAAGGCTCTGGGCCTTTCACCTGTCTTTAACCAAAGCATTTCACCCCTAATTTGTTATATGTTGGGTTTCTTGGTAAAATTTTATATGAGGAAAAGAAGTTTTGATACAAAAAATAATTTTAAAATTCTTGTTTTATTTTGTCTGCTTGATTCTTTTTTGTTTGTTTGGGTTTTTTTTGTTTTTTTTTTTTATTCTTATGTTAATCCCCATACATTACATCATTAGTTCTAGATGAAGTGTTCCATGATTCATTGTTCGTGCACAAC